ACTACTAAAGGCATCTTTTTATCAGCCATTTTCATCAAAATCACTTCACACATATATTTATAATGTAAACAAAAACACTTCAACACCTATATCTATAATGTAAACAAAAACACTTCAACACGTATATTTAAAATGTGAACAAAAACACTTTAACACATATATTTATAAGGATTGTTATATATATATATATATATATATATATATAATTACTATATATAGCGTGCATGTGTATATAGATCATGTAGAGTCTATGATATAGATATATAGATGTCAGAGTGATGTGAGTTAACCACCTTTTAATGACTCAATTAGCCAATGGTTATCTTAACATCCCGCTATCCATGACTAAACAAGAACAAATGTTGATAAGAGAGATAAACAAGAATGTCAATGTGAAAATGTGTGTGTGTGTTTTCATCACAGTTTTCAATTTTTAAATGTTGACATTATCTTATTTTTGCTTAAAATTTTTCTGGTACTTACAGGAAAAATTTGTTACTTATAAGTACAAGTACTGAAAAATGTACTTAAATATAAGTATTTAAGTACAGGTTTTCATATGTACTTGAGTATAAGTATCTAAGTGCTACATTTGTGCTTAAGTACGTACTTAAGTACAAATGTACTTAAGTACTCGTCATCACTGGATTATGGGATATCTTTTGGCAGGCTGTGTGATTGTGTAATGGCGAAGATGATTTGATGATGATGCTTCTGAAAAATATTAATGAGAGAATGACTGGCTGGCTGTGGCTGGCTGGCTGTGGTTGGCTGGCTGGCTGGTTGGCTGGTTGTTAACAAATACACATTAGAAAAGATAATAAAGAATGGAAACATTTTCTGTAATTTCTTAAAAAATTTCAAACTTTCTTCCATCTCACTTTTGATAACTTAAAACTCTACATTTCAACACAAAGAACTCCACCACTGTCACCATCTCCAGATCCACAAACTGGGTCTAAAGTTCGGCATATATTCGGACGTCGGTGACACTTCATGTGCCGGTTTTCCCGGCACCGAGTACCATTTTGAGGAGGACGCCCAGACGTTCGCTGATTGGACGATCGATTTTTTGAAACTAGATGGATGTTACTACGATATGGATAAGTACCATTTGGGTTCGTTTTCCGTTGGGGATGGGGTATTCTGGGGTTTCGTTTCGTTTTAATTATTAATTTAAATCGTATTTTAACTTTGAAAAGTTTAATATTGAGTGCTAGTTCGACAAATTTACTATCCAAAAACTTATAAAATTGTAAATTATTGAATTTACTTTGATCTGAAATCATCACCACCATCTTCCTTCCATCAACCTATCAATTAACCGACCAACCAACAAAACTAACCATTCACTTAACCAATCATTCAGTCAACCAACCATCTAACCAACCAATCACACAAACAGCATTCCCCCAAATGGGGTACTACCTGAATCGAACTGGCCGCCCGATTGGCTACCATTGCGATTGGCCCTGCTATTAGGAATACGTTGGCAAGCAGGTTAGTTGGAAAATTTCATTTTCATGGATATTATTTTTTATTTCATGTTTTAATTCATGTTTGATTGATTGATTGATTGATTTCATGTTAATTGTATAAACTTTTATAAAACAAATCCATCAATTCATTCATTAATTCATTTATTCATTCATTCATCCATCCATCCTTCCATCCATCCATCCATTCATTCATCCATTCATTCATTCATCAATTCATCCATTTATTCATCAATTCATTCATTCATTCATTCATTCGTCCACTCATTTATCCATTCATTCGTCCTTCTACAATCCAACTAGCCCGACTACCAACTGATAGCCAAGCATTGCAACTCCTGGCGAAACTGTCACGACATTGATGATTCGTGGGACAGTCTGCTGGGCATTGTGAACTGTGAGGGGGATGATAAAACGCATTTTCTGGAAGTTGCAGGACCTGGAAACTTCAATGATGCTGATATTGTTGGTCTGTGTGTGTGTGTGTGTTTGTTTGTGTGTGTGTGTTTGTGTTTGTGTCGTTATTAACCATGCAACAATATATATTTTGTTGATTGATTGAGAATGTTCTTCTTCTAAACACAGTATAAACTTAGAAGCCAATTTTTTCCAACAACCACAAAACCAACCCCCAGCTGTTGATAGGCAACTTCGGCCTCAGTGAGGATCAGGAGAAGGTTCAGATGGCGGTGTGGTGCCTCCTACCCTCCCCACTCGTCATGTCCAACAATCTGGCCAGCATCAGGCAATCGTCCCGAGAGATCCTTCTCAACAAGCAGGCCATCGCTGTCAACCAGGATCAGTTGGGATTGCCAGGACGCAGAGTTGCCATGGTTGGTCGGTTTTTTACGGATTTAACTCAAATTTATCGAACTTTTGGAGTTTTTTTTAACTGTTCTAAACTTATAAACGGAGATTATACATTAGATTATATTTTTAATTAAAATAATTAGAAATATTTATTTTATAATTTTTCCATCCGCAAGATTGGAAACGTTCAAATTTGGACTAGACCCATCCTTCCAAGTGGCAGTTTTGCCTTTGCCTTCATCAACACGAACACTGCAATGCCAACGAAAGTTTCCGTCTAACTAGCAAGTCTAAACTTCACTAACCCGGCCGGCTACAAAGTCTTCGACATATTTGGGGGTGTAGATATGCAAGTTTACCTACCGAATGACAATTTTGACGTTTTTGTTAATTCTACTGGTGTGTTTTTTGCTAGAGCTACCAAGGTCTAGATCAGATAGATCGAAGCTGTGTTGGTGAATATGTATTGGTATGTAGTTGTATGCATACATACCTATACTTATATAATACATATATTACGTAATAATAATAATAATAATAATAGGAAATAATAATATGAAATAATAATAATATATTTGATAATATTAGTAACAACAAATTTATAAAGTTATTTAACATGTTAATATGTTAATGTGTTATGCCATAATATTAACGAGGATAATATATCAATATCTATCCACTTTGATTTTAGTCTGTCAAAAATTTGTTATATGTTAGTTCGGCCATCACGTCTGATCGTGATTATCATCGTCGTCATCGTCATCATCATTATGACGTCATCGTCGTCGTCATTATGACATCATCGTCGTCGTCTTTACACTTGCGTGTTTCAAACAGTAGTTTAATTAAAATTATTTTAATGAAAATTTTTCAGCGGAGTATAAAGAATAAGAATTTTTTTCGTCCGTCGAGTTATTAGATTTTTTTTGGTTTTTTGTTTTTTGTGTTTTTTCTTTTCTTTGTTTTTTTTTTTTTTGGGAATTTCCGTCATATAATGGATGTAGGCGTGAGAAGAATAAGTCGATAATAAATAGGGCACAAATTTTTCATCGCTTGTTGTTTGTAGTAGTAGTAGTAGTAGTTGTAGCAGTAGTGGTGGTAGTAGTTGTAGCAGTAGTGGTGGTAGTAGTAGTAGTTGTGTTGTATGCGATGCGATAGTTTTTGGTTTATGGATGATGATTATGTTGATGATTATGATGATGACGATGAAATGATGATGATGATGGTAACAACAACAACAATGATGATGATGATTGATGGTAACAATGATGATGGTGATGATTTTACCGAGAATTCAAATAAATAAGTGGCGATCGTCCAAAATCAGTAATTCTTATTTTTCCCTGTAGATGGCAGGCAGATTGAAGAAAAATTTCTAACTTTTGCACAGTCAGATGAATTTTTCTGGGATTTACTTTTATATGTTTTGATTGATGACGGGCACTTCGTTTGTTTGTTTTTTATTGTTATGATTGACTCACCATTTGGTTTTCTAGTGTTATGGTCTCTGCAATTGTTATGCCTTTGTTGTGTGATTCGATTTAAAATTCAATTTATTTGATTTCTGTAAATTTTTGAGAATTTTCTTAAAATTAAAGTATGTAACACACTAAAATGAATTTGGACAAAAAAATGTACGTTTAGAAAACAAAGAACAGAATTATAAATATCATTAAAGAACACACAAACACAAACACATTGAAACATACAAACACACACACCTACACACAAACACATTGAAGCATACAAACACACACATCTACACACAAACAAACACATTGAGGCATACAAACACACACATCTACACACTAACAAACAAACTCCAAAAATCAAATAAAACTTAGAAAAAAATTTTTTTTGGGCCTGACATTCAGAATGATGCCCAATAATGCTGCTCCACTTAGTTCGCCTGGACGCATTCTGTCATGTGACTTCAACTGCTGTGACGTCATACAATTAAACCGGAAAATGTACGTTTGTACGTTCAAACACTCACTCACACACACATACACACACACAAACAAACATATTTTGATTGCGGATTTTTCGGAGAGTTTTTTTTTATGACGTTTATCGTCACCAGCAAGATGGCATGAATGTTTAAATTTTTTATGAAATTACTCCCCTAGTGCTATTCATAAAACTAAACCTACACACCACACACATACACACACCACACACACACGCACACACACATACACACACACACGCACCAAACTGTCATTTGTCTAACTGTTCGTTTCACTCTTTTTATTTCTTTTTACCGCGAATCTATGTTAATGGAAAAAAATATTTGAACTTCGGACAAAAAAAACAACTTTACCATTTTTTCCTTCTTTTGTTTCCAAAATAAATTTAGAATTTTTTCCAGAGCTACAGTCAGAATAGCGTTTGATGAAATTACTCTTTCGCAGTAAAAAAAAATTATAACTAGAAAGGAAACCACATTTTTTAAGAAGAACAAGTAAAGGAAATGATTTTTTTTTGGTTTTCAGCTCACCACGTAAAAATTTCACCTTTTTTATTATTACTCTCGCCCACAAAACATGAAAACACAATTTTGGCCGATCTTTAGTACGTTTTCAATTTTCCTCTCTGATCTGAATTTATGATCATACTCACACATCCACACTCACACACACACACACATCAACACACACACACGCTCTCACACACATATATAAACAAACATATCTCGTAAAATGTTTTATTGTTTTGTATTTCTTTCTTCGTCATGTTTTGCTATATTACAACGTACTAACTTATGAGAACCTTTTAATTAAAAATTGAATACATACATAAAGTACATACAAACAAACATACATACCTACACAAACACATAAAACATACACAACACACGTAGAAACTTGCCCTGCTAAAAAATACACTAAAAAATGCGATACAATACATGCAATTGCTAAAAGCCGACAAGAACCACTTCCTACGTTAACACGTATGTATGCATGTATATATGATAGTATGTGTGTTTGTATATGTTTGTTTGTACGTATGTAAGTGTGTATGTATGTATGCATGTATGTATGTATGTGTGTGTATGTAGCATTTACAAAGCATAGAAATGTTTAAATTCATATGCATGCATGAATGCACCAGCGGGTATTATGATTGAAGATTCTTGTCCTGTACACACACACTTACATGCACCTCCTTTACTACAATCTTTGTATGTGTGTACGTTTGTGTATGTGTGCGTGCGTGCGTGCGTGTATGTGTGTGTAAGTGTGTGCTGCGTGCGCGTGTGTGTTTACGTGTGTGTGTGTTTACGTGTGTGTGTGTTTACGTGTGTGTTTACGTGTGTGTTTACGTGTGTGTGTGTGTGTGTGTGTGTGTGTGTGTGTGTGTGTGTGTGTGTGAGTTGAGTGAAGTTATGCAAAGAAATGTACGCCGACACGAATGAAATTTTAATGCAAATCAATGGAATCAGCCGCGACAAAATGTAGAAAGAAAAATTGAGACAATTTTTTACACAAAGAAAGAATTATGATGATGGCAATGATGATGGTGACGTTGATGTTGATGATGACGACGACGACGATGATGATGACGATGATAATGATTAGAAATGGCGTGATGAACCTTTTAAAATACATTCTCCAAATGACGTCACGCAAATCTTTGGTCTTCTTGAAAGAAATACAAAAACACTTCAAACAGTGTTTGTATATGCAAAACAACATAAGGTTGCTTATACAACGCAACTGTTTGTATATAGAATACATTTGTTTGTATAGTGATGTTTATATATTGATCCCATTGGTTTTTGTTGTATACACAAAATAAGGATTGTTAATTTATTAGTTAGCAGTAGTAGTAGTAGTAGTAGTGTGTAGTAGAAATAGTAGTATTAATAGTAGTAGCAGCAGCAGTAGTAGTAGTAGTAGTAGTAGTAGTCGTAGTAGTAGTAGCAGCAGTATTTATACTTTATTTGAATTGTTTTATTTTTGTCGTTTGAAAACAAGAAGTAGTAGCGAAGTGTTACTGCAGTGAATAAAAGAATGACACCCTCATATCAATCTAACACTCAAAATACAAAAATATACAAAATACAAAAATATACAAAATTGTACAAAAGACAAAATACAAAAATATACAAAAGACAAAAAATACAAATAAAATACAAAACTGTCAAAACAATTTAAAATTTTTTCCCATGCTTCCCTGTCGAAGTTTTTTGTTAGTTTAGCGCGCAAAATCAAGTTTATTTAATTACATTACCTACAATCAAACACACGATATACACACACGCATACATACATACACACATACATACACACACACATACATACACCAACATACATGCACATATACGCGTATACAACCTATACAACCACACAGCAACAGTCATACACATATCACATATAAATACATACGCATACATACACACACACACACACACACACTTATATACACACACATACACGCACACGCATTGGTCAAAATTTTCTGCTGACAAACGGACATACATTAGTAAGTTCGGGCATGTTTATGACGAAAAATACAAGTCCGCTAAAGAAAAACATTGCTTCCGGGAAATTGTATTATTACGAATACAAACTTACAAACAAAACATACAAACAAAAAATATACAAACAAACAAATAGACATACAAACAAACAAGCATACATATAAACAAACAAGTATACATACAAACAAACAAACAAACAAACATAGAGACATTTATACAAAAAAAAAATTTAAATGCACAGAAAAATGAACAGATATAAACAAATGAAAAAACAAATTTGCAAAAACAAAAAAAGAACAATAAAATCATTCAAAAACTCATACAAAACATACAATTAGACATTGCTCATATGCTTGTAATAAACAAACAAAACAGCTCATCATAAATATCTCTAAAAAAAAGAAAAAACATTGGTTTGTATGATGTAGATCATTTAACATGAATACCAAACAAAACCAAACGATACTAAACGATAACAAACAATGTCAAACAATACAAAAAGATACAAACAATGGCAAACAATACAAAAAAATACAAACAATGCCAAACAATACAAAAAGATACAAACAATGCCAAACAATACAAAAAAATACAAACAATGCCAAACAATACAAAAAGATACAAAACAATAGAAATGACCTGAGAAAATTGTCGGTTGCCATGCAAGTCTCGAGTACATTCGCACGCTCAATTAATCATTTTACACATTCGATTGCAACATTTCTTCCATCTGTCCATCACGGAATATATTTTTGGTAAAAAAAAATTTCTGTAATTAATTAGTCATTTATATATTTGCATACATAAACATATACGTACATTCACACTCACACATACATTCACACACACACACACATATACACACACACACACATACATACATACATTCGTCAATGATTTGGTTTTAACATACATACATACATCATACATACATACATACATACATACACACATACATACAAATCAACATACAAATCATCAGACATACCGTGAAAGAACTTACATAAGAAATCTACAAACACACGCAGAGCATTGGAATTCGTATTGAAGTTTTATCTTCAATGGTATATTTATACGCACCCATATTGAGAGCCTCGTCGTCGTCATCATCTTCGCCATCATCATTTTCGTCATCACCGTCATAATCATCATCATCGTCATCATCTTTATTTTCCACATATTTTACACCAATTTAAAAATCATCAAAAAAATTACAATTCAGTAGGATTGAGAGAGTGAGTGAGTGAATGAATGAGTGAGAAAGAAATAAAAAAGAATGACAGAAACAGACAGACAGACAGACATAGAGAAAAACAGAGACAGAGATACAGACAACAATTAATCATCGTCATCAGTCAGCTCGGACAGCAACAACACTCCCTAACGATCAATATCAATAAGAGGACAAATATGCAAACGACACACACACTCACACACACTCACACACACACCACACACACACACACACACACATCACACACAAACAAACAAACACTTACACACACACACACATACACACACACAGGCGCGCTGAAACACTTAAGCCACTCCTCTTATTATAAAAAGAAACGCCAACTTACGCGCGCACACGCAACCGAGAAACGCAAGAGTCGAGAAAAAATTGAAAAAATAACATAATGGAAGAAGAAAAATGGAAAAATTGTAGAAAAAAATAAAGATCAGCGGAAGAAAGAAGGAAAAAAACCGAAAATTAAATTAAAGAATTAACCTGTTGGGAGAAAGTCATTGGAAGCTGGCAAATGTTACACTAGAGAGAGAAGAGTAAATGGGTGAGAGGAGAGAGAAACAGAAAAAAATGAGAAAGAGGGCATGCTGGAGAATGATGGGAAATGAGAAAGAGAAGAGAAAGAAAGAGAGAGAGAAAGAGGAGAGAGAGTTAGAGAATAGAAAGAGTGAGAGAGAGGGAGAAGAAAGAAAAGAGAGTTATATTTTAAGAAACAATATAAATAATTGGATAGACAAAGACAAAGTGATAGAGAGATAAAAGGATAGGGAAAGTAAAAGAAAGAGAGTGAGAAAAAGAAAAAAAAGAAAAAGAGAGGATTAAAAAGTAATAAATAAATAAACAAAAGAAAGAAAGAAAGAAAGAGTAAATTAGAAAAATTTAAAATAGGGGACGGATGAGTAATCCTAATAAATGAGTAACATCTTTCAGACCATCATCGTCGTTGTCGTCTTCCTCATCATTCAAGATGCAATCCTTATCATCAATAACATCATCATCATCATCACCAGCGTATTCATTATCATCGTCATGGCCATCGTCATCGTCACCATCATTTCAAAAGCGATATTATCAATAGCGTACATCAGGTGTACAAACACACGTACATAGTTATATAAACGTACACACACAAACATACACGCATGCACACACGCGCGCGCCCACACACAAATACATACACGCACCGCACACAAACAAACAAACGCCCGAACAAACACAATCAAACAAAACAAAGCATAGAAACACATATCAAAATTTGAAAACACAACAACAGTAGTATACAACAACAAACAACAACAACAACAACAATAACTACAATACTTATAATAATAACAACAATAACAACAAAAGACCACACCAACAATAAGATGTTAAATTTACTATGCAAATAATAATTTCCCAATGCTTTCAATGGCGCTATCAAATTTGGTCTCACTCCAATTGTACAAAAAATACAAACACAGATACAATCTCACAAACAAACAAACAAACATATACAAACAAACCAAACAAACACACAAACGAATATCTATACAAACATATTTACATATGAACATACAAACATGTAGAAAAACAATGTTGAATACATATATAATATATATACACACAAAACTATCATACACATTTTCTTGAACAAGCAAATAGGCACACACACAAAAAAACATATACAGACCGACAGACAGAGACAGAGAGAGAGAAAGAGAGAGAGAGAGAGAGAGAGAGAGAGAGACAGGCAGGCCAGGCAGGCCAGGCAGGCCAGGCAGGCCAGGCAGGCCAGGCAGGCAGGCAGGCAGGCAAACAGACAGATAAACAATTGGCCATTAGAAATAATTGGGGAGTGTTAATGTTCATCTGAGCGAACGAAAGTGAACAGTTAAAGAACAATAATCACGTGATGTATGGTCAGTAGTCGGTGGGAGAACCATTACAATGATCAATCGATGGATGGATGGATGGATGGGTGGATGGATGGATGGATGGATGGATGGATGGATTGATGAATGGATGGGTGGATCAGTCTCAGATCAATTGTCGTA